CCAATCTCCAAAAATAAAAAATTAAAAATTTATTTCAATGATTCTCAAATCGAAAATTATTCTACACTCAAAACACTTCAAGCCAAGAAAATATTATTTAATATTTCTAAATTTTCCCACGAATGATTTATAATTTCTTTCACATATCCCCACCTGTAGTAAGCTCTTCCATTGCAAAACTATCTTGAAACTTTTTGACACAAATAGCAGCGGTTAATCCCCTGTTCCAGTTGAGGCTTGGGAATTTTCTAGGGGAACAAGAGAGTGGGAAACAGCGGACACGAAACATTGGATGAAACAATTCATTCGGTCCGGACGTGTTGGCGTTGCTTAGAGTAGTTTCGTGGTAATTGCCTAATAGTTAGGTTTCTGCAGGGTGACGTATGTGTGCATTATGTGGCAGCGGTAATACGTTCGATAATAAAGGGTTAATAGCGCGTTCCGAACAGAAGCCTTTGTGTCGCGGCTGGTAATCGCAGATAGAACAGTGGGTTATCGATTTCTCGTTATGTTAATTGCAGAATTATACCTTCCACAGGATCGATCTCGGGTTCCTCCTCGTCGCCGCAACTATTCCCGAATGTCAACCTCCCTTTCGCCCCTCCCGTCCTCTGCGTCGATCTCGTAAAATCCATCGAGATTATAGTATATGCACGTGACAAGCATCGGGAAACGCGACAAAATGTCCGACAGATTATTTCCATTACAGTGAACAATGTCTGTTATTGTTTTAATCGCGTCGAAGAAATTTTGCAGGAGCAATTTGGAGAATTTTAATGTTAATTTATTTTAGAGACAGGAGGATTTTTTAAACATTTTGTAGTGGACAAATTTGGGACCGTGGGAATTTGGAAAATTATTTTTGCGTTGGATATGGGAAAATTAGAACACTTTCAATTTTTTGTGAAGATTTAGAGAAGAGAGGGAGCAAATTGTGTGTCGATTTAAATAAAATTTCATTTCTATTATTTTCGAGCACCATTTATAATAGGTATTTAAATTTGGGACCTTGGAAATTTGGAAAATTATTTTTGCGTTGGATATGGGAAAATTAGAACACTTTCAATTTTTTGTGGAGATTTAGAGAAGAGAGGGAGCAAATTGTGTGTCGATTTAAATAAAATTTCATTTCTATTATTTTCGAGCACCATTTATAATAGGTATTTAAATTTGGGACCTTGGGAATTTGGAAAATTATTTTTGCGTTGGATATGGGAAAATTAGAACACTTTCAATTTGTTGTGGAGATTTAGAGAAGAGAGGGAGCAAATTTTGTGTGTCGATTTAAATATCAACGGGTTATTGAATATTTTAATTAAGGATAGAAAGCAAAATTTCATTTCCATTATTTTCCACACCACTTGTAATAGATATTTAAATTCAGAAAATTAATTTTGCGTTGGATATTCGAAAATTACAACGCTTTCAATTTTCTATAGAAATTTAAAGAAGAGAGGGAGCAAACACTGTGTGTCGATTTATCGAATATCTCAATTATCCTTAGAAAGGCAAAATTTCACTTCCATTATTTTCCACACTACTCACAATAAATATCTAAACTCGAAAAATTAATTTTACGTTAAATATTCGAAAATTAGAACACTCTCAATTTTCCATAAAAACTTAAACAACAGAAGAACAATTTAAATATCCGAACAATACCAAATCTCTTAATTAAACGAAAAAAAAAAAAAAATTTCTGATAAATATGAAAATGTAGTCTCGAAAAATAAAAAAGAAATAATTTCACATAAAATATTCAAAGGTATACCGAATTTCCTATTTATTCTATTTGCATCTACCTTCTATGCCACTTGAATACGATAATTATGAAAATACGAATACTCGAAAGGCGCGATTGAAAGAAGAAAGTTGGTAAAATCAATCCAATCATGATTTCCGCCGAGTGTACGCCGCAAGATCTCTCTCTGGCTGTGAAGCGTCCGCGAATCAATTGAATCCGCAGATCGATGCCACCGCGTTTAATTACCCGAGTGCAGCCACCGTATCCAACACACGAAAGTTCTGTGGCCGATGGCCGCTTTTCGCTTGAAAACTTCGCTGGAAAGCTACAGTCGAGATGGCGTCACGCTGGCCGGAGGACACGCGACACACGGCTCGCAGTTCATTTCGTACTTCGCGGACATGTTCGTGGACAAATTCGAATTAGCAAGTTCAAACAAC